AATTAATTACCCAAGCCAGTAAGCAAGTCTTTAGCAGGCTCCACAAACCGACAATGTAACAGAAAAAAATCAAACGAGTGAAACACTTATTACCTGTGCGACCAGCTTTTTTTTTTTTTTTTAATGATGCCTTCTGCCACTTACTGGGAGGTTTTTCATGAATCAAAAGCTTATCTTAGTGGAAATGTAGTTCAAATTATCAATCATTACATTTAAGGACTATCAAAAAACAAACATGAAAACCCGCAAATTTGTGAAGCCCTCTGATTTAAAACATGTGGCGAACAGGTCTCGCTACTTCCAGATTAAACTGAAGCAGCTTCTAAGTTCCCTTTTGAAAAAGACTAGAGCTGCCGTCGCAGTGAAAATCGCTAATACCGAAAGCAAACTCGTATAGCTGCTCGCTGCGCCTTTAAGACTCTTGTAGAAACCTTTCCGTTCACTTTCTTGGAGAACACGCAGGATCTGGTAGCCATCCAGAAGGAAAACCAGACTCCGACACCCGTGTCGCCGCCAAGATGGGCGCGGGAGCGGCGGGCGCCGCAGGCCGTTAGCAGGCCGCGCGCACGCGGCTTTCCCGCCTCCCGCAACCCCGGCGCCTCGGCATCCCGATTCGGCCCAAACCCTTCCCTCCTAGCCCCCGCCTCGCTTCGTGATCTGCTCACCTCACGAGCTTCATCCTAGCAGCGCCGTCACCCTTTTAAGTCCGACTGTACACAAAATCCAACAATCGAGGACCAAGCGACCGAACAGGGGTATGAATGGCCGGAAACACCTACTCCACAGGCTCCGGACGTAAAATGCACGCTGAGCGCTGCGGAAGCACGGCGTTTCCGCCCAGTCCGCTCTGGACCGTGCTCACTTCCGGCCACGAGGAGCGCGACAGCGGCCCCCAGCGACCGGAGGAGTGCCTTGCGACTACTGAGGACTTCAAAGCTAGTTTAGGAGGAAATTTCCTACAGTGGTGAGATTTGAAGACCTTAAACCCAGTTAGCCGACCTGTCGTCATCACCCGTAAGCAGAGCAGTACACCGAAAGGAAACACCAAGTGTAACTTCCTCTGAACGAAGAGGAGGCTGAGAGAAGCCCAAGGAGTATTGTAAATTCTGTTCCAACATCAGGAATGGTTGCATTACTTAAAGTGCCTGAAGAAAATCACACAATTTGGTTGATTATTTTTATTTTACCTTCTGAGCTCCAAAGCAAACTTTTCTACCTTCATTTTACTCAACATCTCAGCAACATTTAATTCAAACACTTCCCCACGGAGCACCTTCCTTTCTTGGCTTCCAGGATCCCAAGCACACTGGTTTTCTTCCTATCCTGCTAGGCATTCTTTCTAGGTCTTAGACGGCTCATTTTCCGCTTCTGGAGCCATTACATGTTGGAGTCCCTCTGGGCTACTGCTCGTTTCTCTAGGGATACCTTCTGTAGCCGAGATGATCTCCTAGGGCTTTAATTTGTATCTCTAGTCTGGACTTCATCCCTGATCACCAGAATTCTTGGTTGCTTATTGAACTTTAATGTGTAGAAGTCCTATGCTGGGGAAAACTAAGATGAAAATTCTGCTTTACTTGTGGGGCCTGAAACTCTGCATTTATATGAGAACTTTAGTTGATGAAGATGCCCCCAATCCATGGACCACAATTTCAGTATCAAGGATGTAAGGTGCATTTGTGTGATGTCTTCTCAACATCTATACTTTGCTCTTTCCAAAAGTTTCTAACATCCTTCTAGTGATCCATGTGGTCCTAAGGAAACTGACTCTTTCCTTTATACAAAGGATCACATTCCATTACTTAACCACAATTGACTTGGGAAGTAAGCTGATCCAATCAGAACTTTGGATGGAATGCTCTTCCCTTTTGGATGGCTAACACCTACTCAGCATCTCTCAAATATGTTGGGCCAGGATAATTACTTGTATATGTTAGTGATGAGTTTCTCAGGAGGCAAATTGAAATGCCATTGTCAGTTGATTTAAATCAAACTGCTATAATTTTTGTCTTTATTTTCTAGCTTGAACTTTTTAAAAGAATTTTTACTCTCATTATATAGTATGAGACTGTCTTGAAATAGCAAGGCAGGAGCGACAAAGGAAAGGCCTTTATTTGCTGTTAGCAGGAAGGTCAGTATGAAGTGATACTGTCCTGTTCTCTGTGAGTTAGCAGAGGTTTTGTATGTCAGAGGCATTTAGATTGGTCACACAAAAAGAACAAGGAAATGAGAATGTGACGAATGGGACAATGTGACTATGCCATCATCCATTTTTAGAAGTAGGTGTCCTAATTATGAGCAAGTGCAGAAAAGTACATCCTATAGTTTGGAGCCAGGGAGGAAAACAAGCAATTTAAACAAGCCCAGGCATTTACATTCACGGTTTTAGCAAGAGAATGTTAGCAAGAGAACATACAGTAGGGGCTTGTAGTTGTTGGGGTTGTGAAAAGGACCATCATCACTTATAGAACCGTAGTGCTGAGCCCTAAGAGGTGTCATCTGGTTCACAGCATTTGTTTCTAGCATGGGCACATGGCAAAGCTGAATCAATCAGCACTTTCCCCAGAACTTTCTCAGAAGCTGTTAGGAATAGAGGCCTTTCTTTTCACTGGAATCAGTTTACTGTAAACTTATATAATCTTTGCTGAGTTGTCAGGAGAGCCTACTTGAGAATGAGGCTCATACAGAAGAAAGAAGAGCTAACCAATGGAGTATGCTACTGATATAATTTAAATCTCAGATTTCGGAGGGCCTGAGGTCAGCTGCTCCCCTAGGGCTCTCAGTTATAGTAGCAATAAAATCCTTTTTTTGGAAATGTTGATTATATTACTTTCAGCTGGACTTCAATAAATTTTCAAACCAAGACATCTGACTAACATTTTGCTTGGATTATCTCTTCTTTCTCTTCTAAGCTGAATGTCTTCCTATATAGTAGTTTTTGCTAGCCCCAGTTCCCTTCTGAATTAAAACTTGCTTTTCTTTCTTTTAGTTGTGATTATATTCTTCCACCAATTCAATGCTAGTCTTCACATTGACCATTATTTGCAAAACCTGAATGCTTTCTTCCCCACTGCCACCCACCAAAACCTGAATTCTTTACTTTTTCCTGAACGAGAACGAAAGCTCAGTCAAGGAAGCAATGTATTCAGTTAATCATTATTTTTACTGGACACCAAGTTAAATGAACCAAATTCCAAAGCTCATAGACAGCACTAAAAGAAAACCACTGGTAGAAGGTTTTTACACAGATTTTACCAAATGTGTTATTACAAAGTAATTAAGATTTAAACTATGAAGTGAGACATCTGGCCTATTAATGATAAAGAATAATGACCAAGAAAGTTTACTACTTTTTCACAAAAGCAAACTAGTTTTTACAGTACGTTTAGGTAACTGGCTATATATAGTTTTAGAAAAGAAAACTTTCAGTAAAATGCAGATTATTAATTACACATGAAATTACTTTTTTTTGTGGCAGCACTGGGGTGGCCAGGCCTATGGGCTTGCTAGGCAGACGCTCTGCTACTTGGATCACTCTGCAAGTCCTTTTTGTGTTGGTTTTTATTTTTTCCTCTCTCCTGTGTTGATTATTTTTGAGATAAGGTTACACTTTATGACATGACCCTTCTATTTGTCCTCCCTTGAGTAGCTGGTAACAGTTACATACGACAACACACAGTCATTGATTGAGATGGGATTTTATGGGCTGGCCCCCAACCTTGATTTTCACTGCCTCACCTGCCTCCCAAGCAGCATTTTCTTTTCTTTCTTTATTTTTAGGCAGGGTCTTGATTTGTAGCTCAGACTGGCCTCTAACTCATGATCCTCCTATCTCAGACTCCAGAGTGTTGGGCCTATGGTATGTCTGGCTTCCAATTACGTCTGTACCAAAAATAAGTACATATAGTCTGACATTCTTAAGGATTCCTCTGCTCCTGACTGAAGGTATTACAACAGAGTAGGAAAGGATCACTTAGAAGCAACAGCCTATTTTGTGGGAATTAAGCTTGTAAATGTGGCTTCTGTGTATACCAGAATTTAAGTTATTAAAGATAATGTGATTTACTCAACTAAAAGAAACCCTGCCAGTTGTTTGTAATAATTTTTAATGAAGGTGAACATAGCTCTGATACCCTGATAAATAATCTGCTTTAACCAGGTCAAGTTTACTCCTGAGGCTTTTTTCTTTTTTTCAATTTGAGACATTTGGTGTATGCCACTGCGATATGTATCAAGGGGCTGGAGGTGTGGCATAAGTGGTAGAGTGCCTGCCTAGCAAGTGCTTCTGCCAAAAAAATTATATCTGGGAGAGGGCGTGGGGGTGGTGGCAGTGGACAGACTTTTGCCAAGTAGCGCACCGTATTGTAATATGGGGAATGGTCCAACTGTCCAATACCTAACCACAAAATCTCACCACTAAACTGCTAACCAGCTCCTGAAAGTTTTGTGGAAGACGAACGAATTGTCACAAAAACATAAGGCTTGACAAACTTACAGCTCCTTTTGGCTGACCTGGTTTCAATCCACTTCTGCAGCATTAAAAAGCAGTGTGAGAGAGCTGGTGGAGTGGCTCAAGTGCGAGGCCCTGAGTTCAAAACTCCAGTACCACCAAATAAATAAAAAGCAGTGTGAGAACCACATATCCTATGCTAGAAACCTGGGTGCGCCACGACCAAATCTGGTGGAACGCTTTAGATTTCTTGCACGCTATGCTATTAGGCAACAACAACAACAAAAAAGGTGAAGCCCCGTAGTTTTGGGGGTGCAGAGAAAAGGAAAGGGAAGGGTCAGTTAATCCCATCTTCTTTCTGTACATTGGGTCCTACGGAAGATCAAAAAGGTTCTTGGCTTAGACACAAGTGCAAGATTGCCAAGGCAAATCTAGGCCGCTTTTATTCCACGTGACCCGGGGAGGGCAAGCGAGCGCCGCCAGGGGCGCCGCCAAGGGGCGCGCGGCCGCCTCCCCGCAGGCGTCCACCTGCGGAGGCGCGCACGCGAGGCTTCCCATCGCGCCTGCGCTGACGATGGACTCTGGCTCTTCGTTCCCCGACGCCCAGCCGTCCCGGCCGGGGTGAAAAATTGCGTGACACGCAGCGAGCGTGGCGGCCATCTTCGTCTTCTGGGTACGTCAGCTGGCTAGTTGTGGGGGACTGAAGAGAAGCGTTGCGCAAGCGCACCCACGACGGTCACAGGTAACTCCCATCTGACGGGCGAAGCGTCGTCGTCGTCGCCGGAAGTTTGGTGTTTGCGCCGCGGGGAGGCGGCGGTAGCGGCAGAAGCAGCTGAGTGTCTCCGGATACCCGGATGTGAGGCGTTCCGCTGGCTCTAGTCGGACCCTCGGCCAGGCAGCAGGGAAGGTACAGGAACGTCCCTGATCGTCTCCACGCCCGCGTCCTCTCCTCGCGTTTGCCACCCGCTCCAGAGAGGGGGCCGCTGTTCTTCCTGTTCCACCCTCAGTGTCGTGTCGATTCGCATGCTTTTTCTTAGTGTGCTCCCATCGCCTCGCGCCCTGGCGGGGGGGGGGGGAGGGTGGGAGGTTCGGAGATTCGGTCGCCTGAGGTTGGGAACGGATGTCGCTCGCTGCCCAGCGGCCCCGTCACCTGCCGTCAGCGTTGGTTAGGGCCACGCCGCGGGCCGACCGGGGCCTCCGAGGGCTTTCGGAGATGGAGTGCAGCCATGGCGACGACTCGGGCAGCGTCGGCGATGGCCCCGCAGGTAGCTGCGGGTCTTGTCCCCGCCTCCCCCCAACCCCCTCGGCTCTCGCTCTCTCCCTCGCGGAGCTCGCTAGTCTGGCCCGCGCCCCCGAGGCCTCTGCAGTTCTCTCGGCGGCGGGTGGGGAATCTTGGGACGGGAGCGGCAGCCCGGGCCCAAGGTCATGGAGCAGTTGGGGTTGGAGGTGGGGGGCGCGGGCACAGGTGGGCTGCTCTGCGTTAGAACCGGGCGAGGACCATAGCGAGGGAGAGTTGCCGGCAGAAAGGAATCGGGGCCTCGGTTTTTATCATCGTCCCTAAGATGATAACGCGGGTTTATTTTGCACAGGCAGGATCATCTGTCCATGTCCAAAAATGTCCCCAAATTAGAGGCCCATCCCACCCCGCCTGTAAATGATGCGCCTACCGAATTTTCCCGGAGGTTGGAGTGGGGTGGGGGTGGCGGGGGAAGAGGAAGGAGTTAAACGCTTGAGATGTAAGAAGTGCTCTGAACCACGTTTTCTGAAGTCTTAGCCGAAATGGGTTTTAGTAGGAAGTAATTTCAGCCAAATAGTATTACAAAATCTAAATAAGTAGGCTTTGCAGAAAACAAAAGGAATAATACGATGGGGGTATGTTTTTTTTCCCCTCCCAAGTAAACATTAATTAAAAAAAAAAAACTGGGTATGGACTCAGTGATGAGAGCATGAGCATGGGTTCAATCTCCACCAAAAATAAAACAAGAAACTGGATAAAAGACGAATTTCAGTTGTGAATGGCTAGGTTGCAGTGAGTGAACTATACTGTAGTCTTCTCTGATCAAGTCCGTAGTTTCTGGTTTACATAGTACAGTGACACCAACGGAGTTTTGTTTTTTAATTTGAAAAACTTAAAAAAAAAATTCTCACCGCTTAAATAATCAGTGGAATTAGACATCAGAGTAGGATGAAAAGTGCTTGATTTGGGAGCTGAAAATTCAGGCCTTCAGCATGTGAGGAAATGAGTTGAAGCATAGTTCTTTGAATAAAATTTGCCTTGGCTTATTAGCTTCTACCTGCCTTAGTTCTTACTCCCCTCCAAGCAAGGGCCTGGTGCTTGCTAGGCAAGTGCTCTGCCACTTGAATCACAGTTCCAGCCCTAATCTTCCTTTCTGAGAAAATATGCTATCATTGCACCTTGCTTAATCAGCAATATAATTTGTAGTGAACAAGAATTTTTTTTTTTTTTTTTGGTGGCAGTAGGGTTTGAACCCGGCCTACACCTTGAGCCACTCCACCAGCCCTTTTTTGGGATGGGTTTTTTTTGTTTTTTGTTTTAGTGATAGGGTCTCAAGAACTATTTGCCTGGGGCTGGCTTTAGACCTCTTCCTGATCTCTGTCCCCTGAGTAACCAGGATTGTAGGTGTGAACCACCAGTACCTGGCTGGCTGGCTGGCTGGCCCTTTTTAGATTGGTAATTCATTAAAACATAGAGCTGATTGTATTTGTTCTGATATTGAAGGTGACTATGACTGTATAGTTAAAAAAAGTGTGTTTTTCTAATAGGTAAAATTTTTTTCATGACTTTTATTAGCAGATTTATATTCTACATAGAGTTCTTTGAAAACCCTCTAAGGGAAGAATTAAGTTTAGTTAGTAGAAACCAACTCCGGTAAACTTTTTTAGGATAGGTAATTCATTCAGGGATTATGTTAACCCTTCTGAAACCCATATTCATATTTTCTGAGCATCATTCAGTGAAAATTCTTTGGCTCTTTTTGCAAAAGTTCTCCATTACAACTTCATTATAGTATTGTAATTATATCTGGCAAATGAAACATTCTCTTAGTTGTTTTTTCTCTTTTTGGGGTCCATGAGCTGTATCTTATACTCGATTACATTACACTGCATTTGAAGAAAGCAAGCCTTATATCTGCTTCTTTAGGTAAAAACTCAGAAAGTAGGGGCTAGCAATGTAGCTCAGTGGTAGAACACTTGTCTAGTACACACAATGTCTTTGGTTGTATTCCCAGTATTGGAAACCCCCCAGAACCCTGAGTGGTGGTGCATGCCTGGGAGACTGATACAGGAGAAGGATGTTGATTAAGGGGAAGCATGGGTTGCATGATGAGGACCTTGTGTCAAACTCCCCTCCCCTCCACAACACAACTACTCAGAAAGTAAATAAAAATGAGATACTTTAATATGGTTCTCAAACTTTTTGGTCTCAGGATCTTTTGTGCTCTTAAAAATTGTGTAGCACTTCAAGTAGCTTGTTGGTATGGTTACATGTATTGATAGTTACTGTATTAGAAGTTAAATATAGTTATCAATTCATTTAAGATACATAATAAACTAATTACAGGTTAACATAAATAACATTTTAAATGACAAGCAGTATTATAAGACAAAAAATTTAGTAGAAGAATGGCAGCTATAATACATTTTTGTCAATTTCCTTAATGTTTGGCCTAACTGAAGACGGATTTTTCTGTGGGCTTCTGCATTCAATCTGTTGCTATCTCGTGTTCTGGTTGTAGTATGTGAATAAAATCCAGCTTCACACCCATATTTTGGGAGGGATAGTTTAATAAGTTTTTCAGATAATTGTGATACTTGATTCTACAACAAAACTCAACAAGCGATGATATCTTAAAGGTCTGTTACAATGCAGAGTCTGAAACCTTTTCTACTTTTGTACTCTATTTCATCAAAATTTATTGATCTGTTTTATACTTTTTTTTGAGGTAGGGTCTCATTATGTTGCCTAAGCTGGCCTTGAACTCTTGGGCTGTAGGGTCCTTCTCAGCCTCTCTAGTAGCTGAGACTACAAGCGCCCGTGGCAGTTTTGCATTTGTTTTTCTTTCTTTCTTTTTTTTGCAGTGCTGGAAATTGAACCCAGAAGCTAGTACATGCTAAGCGAGCACCATATCCACTGATCTTATAAAATTATATATTTATGCAGCTTAGGTAACTGCTGTTTCTAATAGCTGTCAAATAGTGCTCAAATAGTTTCTTATTTGAGCACTTTGGAACTACTTTGGATATTTTTGCTTCTATAAATGCTGCTTTTTGTTGTCATGGCTGTGGGTAAATTTTTTTCTAGTTTTGTATTCTTGACATGGGTGAATTAATGGGTGGTAGTGTAATTGTGGAGAAGAATTGGCTGACAGCATTTTAAGGTAGTTTGAAGATACCAGAATGGTCAGGTGCCGGTGGCTTACTTCTGTAATCCTAGCTACTCAGGAGGCAGAGATCAGGAGGATTGTGGTTAAGAACCAGACAGGACAAATAGTTCGAGAGACCCTATCTCAAAAATAACCAACGCCGAAAAGGGCTGAGTTCTACTACTCAGGTGGTAGAGTGCCTGTCTAGCAAGTGTGAGGACTAGTTCAATATGTATCAGAATGGATGGATGATGGATGCAAGTGTTGGTTGATAGGCATTTGTATATTAACAGCTTATGTACAGGTAGCAATTGAAAATATGGTATAGATGGCATTAGTGAATTTTGTGAGGAGATGACAAAGCTTTGGGAAATGTGTAGGAGACTATTGGGGAAGGAGAATTTTAAAACTTATTTTAAAAAGCTGGCTATGATGCTGTGCACCTGTAATCCTGGCTACTTAGGCTGCAGCAGGAGGATCACTGGCGTGAGCAACAGTGAGACCCTGTCTCAAAAAAATTAAAGAAACAGCCTATCTACCTTTTTTGCTGGATACCTGTTAAGTCTATTGAGAATATATGAATTTTATTTGTTTTTCCTATTAAGATGATTAAGTGTGAAAAATTTTTTTGACAGTATTGGGGTTTGAACTTAGGGCCTTGCTTTCTAGAGTCTTAGGTGAGGCCCTGAGTTCTAATCCTAGTACTGTCAAAAATATCCCTACTAAACTCAATGTGAGAAACAATAATAATGGTAACTGGTGAAGTGATGAAGTTGGGAATTTTACTTGCCTACCAAGTGTAAGGCTTACCACTGCCCAAAAAACTCCTCAAACAAACCAGGGACCACCAAACAGTAGGTTTTGCTGAAGAACACCCCAGATGTTACAGGAACCCCAGTGTAGTTCAGGATATAAGAAGGTTGCTGAGACTAGTACAGAACTACCAATTGGCTTACCTTGTTTTAATTCCTCAAGTAGCAGGTGTCCTGCTATCACTAGTCTAGTTGTCTGCCATCATAGTAGTAGGTCTCAGTCAGAGGTGACTTTGCCTCTCAGAACATTTGGTAGGGTCTGGAGACAATTTTGATTGTCAGGACTGGGGAAGGGGTGCTCCTGGCAGCTAGTGGGTAGAGGCCAGGGATGTTGCTACTCAATATTCTGGGTCACAGGACAGCTGCCCACAACAGAGGCTTCATTGGATCTAAAGTGTTAATAGTGGTGATGTTGAAAATTTTGCATTGTTGTGACTGTATGCTGGCTGTTATAGGGTCAAGAACCAAAACTTTAT